AAAATAATTTCTACGCCCATCACTAGGTACTTGTATAAAATATCTATTTTGTCCAAATTAGATTTTTCAAGAATGACTTTATAATGATTCTACTATACATGCAGCCTAAAGTATTTTGACTTATTTTTTTATAGTGTACTTTTTGATTTTTGACATCAACAAAGCATTTTGAGCTGCAATATATATAGTCTCTACTTTTGAAATTTGTAGTATATAGTAATATTTTTGGAATACTTGATTCTTCCTATAATTGTGATACATATAATAATATTTATTAATAATCATATTAGTATATGATACTGTTGTATGTGAAATTGAAATCGAAATTTATAATTAAAATTTTGGGGTGGGTGTTTGGATATGAAATTCTGATTGGCTAATTTGAATTTCACAGATTTCATTTTCACAAACATTTACTTTAATAAAATGCGTCTCAAGGTTTTTCCACTCCTTTTTTTGTAAAAAGTGCTCTTAATTGATTAAATTATTATATTCAGGTAGAAATATTATATATAGCATAATGAGCGGAAAATATCACATCATTGGTAATACAATTGTGTTAAACAATATTGATCCTGAAATTTGTGGTAATATCAATGTTCACTTTGTCTAGTTTTGTTGCAGCATGCCCCAAATGTGTGGTGTCCTTCTTCGATTATTGTTATTGTAAAAATTTCGAAAGATAGCACCACCTTTTTATGGTAAATAGATTGTTTGTTTATAACCTTTTTTTTTGTCACGGCTTTATAATTTGCCAAAAAAGGATTTATTGTTTTACGAAATTGATCGCGTTGTATAAACAAGTAGAAAAACCATGTGATGGTTGATCACATGAAACTGCTTTATGTAACACTGTCCTGTATTTTTATCAGTCATTCCAAAAAAAATTTCATCCCTCTTCATATATATATTTGTAATAAATTATTAATAATGTCTGTAATTTCAAAAAATACAGAGACTCCAAAAAACGAATTTTGTGTTGGTGAAGAAACTATAATTTTGAATGTTGGTGGTATCAAGGTAGTATTATAACTTTCACACAAAAAAAAACAAGAGTTAGAAATACACGTATTTAAAAAATAAAATAAATCATTAGTAATGTGATAATTTACTGTTATTATTTTTTTTTAGTATGAAACATATACATCAACACTTACAGCATATCCATACACACTTCTTGGTGTAATGTTTAGTCAACGAAATCAATCAATGCTACATCCCAAAAATGGTAATGAATATTTTTTTGATCGGAATGGTCATGCATTTCGTTATATATTGGAATACCATCGCACTGGAAAATTATTATATAGCTTTAATAAAGATAACAAACAACAACAATGTCAAGGATATCAAATGATTAGCGGTTGCCCCGATTATCATTATCATTATCATCATCAAAATGATTTAAATGGTCATGGTCATTATCATCATTGTTGCAACAAATATAAGCATGTTGATGGTGATTTCAATGCAATTGTAACTAAAGAAGAATTAATAGAAGAATTATTATATTTTCAAATTCCTTTTAACAACAATGACAGTGATGACAAGAATAACCACAATTGTGATAATATTATCAATATCGATGATAATCATGCAATTGCAAATGCACAATTAGGTGCACAAAAATTGGATTCATTCATTATTGCAATGATCAACATGATTAATGAGATGAAGGCATCGTTTATGCAATCAGTTGAATTAAAATTCCCTCGTCATTGTAATAGTATTGATTCTTCTGACAAATCTTTAAGATTAAGTAATGAAAACCTGTATCATCCAGTAAGATTTATGCAACCTTATTGTTTTGTTGGTTATGTGTTATTGAAAAATTTCGAAACAGATATTTACAGATATATTACTTCAAAAGTTAATGGATTTCATTGGGAGGTTGAAAGAATTGCTGGAACAGTTAGAAATAAACATTTGAAAGTTACCATTAAAATTGATATTAATGTTAAGAAAAGGGATGTACTTGCAAATTCTTCACTTGGTTTATTTAACTTAATGAGAGAGGGAGAGAGATCATAGAATTATAGATGAGAGAATGGGAGTAGATAAATAAGTTAATTTTTAAATTTATGGATGAATGAATGAATTAAATTTGTTGGATGGGTAGATGTACATAAATATATAATTAAATCATCAGGTATGTTGATGATTTTCATTAGAAAAATAGATTTTTTAGAAATTACATTTCTTTAGATAGTTACATTTTCCCCCTCTTACATCAATTATATATATATGTATAATATAATTGTTGTCAAGTGGTTTTTTATTTTATTTTATTATTGATAGTATCACTTTTGTAACTTTATAATTTTATTGCAATAAAAAAATTGTTAAGTTATAAAAAATGTGGCCAATACAGTGTTCACAAGGTATAAACATCAGGAAAATGAAATTTTTTTCCGCAACAGGCACAATTTGTGCATGTTAATATCAAAAATTGAGGCTAAGTGTACAATTGTAAACTTATTGTCCGCATAGCATTTATTCTGAGCTTAATGTAGAGATTTAACAATTTAACACATAATTTGCGCACATGAATATTGGTAGAAATGTTTATGCCATACAACCTGATGTAACATCTTCAGAAGAGTGTTTTTTTTAAGTTACTTTTTAAGATTTAGAAAACAGTGATCTGACTTATAAAGACGGAAGAGTTTAGGTTTATTCTTAGCCATCTCTATTAAAGGTTGTCTATATACTACATAATAGATTTTTGCAAAGAAATTTGGTTCAAGACAAACATAGTTTTAGCAAAAGGTAATTATCATAGTTTAATTTCGGTAATACTTTTTTGATCCATTGTTGTTTCATGTTCGTTTACTTGACAAATGTCCAAGGTGAAAAGATAACATAATTATTTAATTATACTGATAAACAGAATGAATGTGTACACTACATGGACAAAAGGCTAACACACGTTTAAAAATTATTAACACAAAAATGTACATAATAATAATAATTAAATAAAAAACTGTCATTTCGTATCTTAGGTTCACCAAATTATATGTGCAGAGTTTCACATCTCTAACATTTTCACTAAACCAATGATTAAAAAAAAAAAAATTTCCGACCAAAAATTTTTGACGAAACAATTGCTCATTTCAAAAAAAATTTGATTGTTCAAAAATGCATATAATGATCTCATCTGAAATTTTGACATGTGATAATAGACATCTTGATTAAACATCTGTGTTGATTTGATTTTTTTTGCAACGAGGTATCATTTTTCGTCAAAAAATTTTTGGTCGTAATTTTATTTTTTTAACCATTGGTTTAGTAAAAATGTTAGGGATGTGAAACTTTGCACATATAATTTGGATACGAAATGGCAATTTTTATTTAATTATTATTATGTACGTTTTTGTGTGCTAATAATTTTTAAACGCGTGCTAGCCTTTTGTCCATGTATTGTATGTCCAATGACAATTATACAGTTATTATTGTTATTCAAATGGCGAGCAGTCAGCTAAATTAAACATTATTACAGGGGATATTTACATAAATTAATATTTCATATATACAGTCAATCTTTCCATAAGTGCAACCCCCTAAATATTTTTGCTGGTTGCACATGACATCAATAAAAAATATAAGATTCAAACTAAGTCAAATTCTTTAAGAGTCAGCTCAAATTCAGGATTAGTTGCAGGTTTATTACCTTTATTTCTTTACTTTTTTGTAGAATTCTGGTTATTGTTGATTCATGAACTGTGGCCCCATTTTTGGTCAATGCCTGAATAGAACTGTCTGCAATGTTAGAGAATTTTTCTGAGAACAGAGGTTGTATAGTGTAAGTGCTGTCCAAAGAATTATCACCAATAAAATCGATACTCTTTTTGGTTAATTTATTATTTTCAGCAAATAAAATGGCTTGAATACACTAACAATGTAGTGAGATTTTCAATACAGATTAGTAAACTTCAGAGTACTGAATAATAATAAGACATTTTATTTCAGGGTTTATAATAGATTAATTTTATTTCAATTTTTATTTCCAATTGATCTTCTTTCTTCTATTGAATATTTAGTCATGGCAAGTTGTAAGTATGTATGCCACTACTATAAGTAGTGGTGGTGACCATATATTTATTGTTAGTCTTGGAGTAACAATATACTTGTAATTAAATATTATTATATATATTTTTTATGTGCAATCAGACCTGGGATTTATTGAAAAAGTATTCAAATATAAGTCATGTGATAAATGATCCTATACCATTACACGTTCTGTCTAACGTGACACATTTGATGTTGATCATTAAAAAATAACTTCATATTTCAAAAATTTTTTTCGTAAACGAAATCTTTTGATTGAGAGAGAAAACAAAAGATAAATATAAATATTTAAATATTATGGAAATACCAACTTTACCACGTGAAGAGGTTATTGCATTAATTATCAGGTGGGTTTTTATAAATGCACAGTAATAGTGATAGTAATAGCAATAGTAATAGTAATGGTAATGATGATAGCAATGGTAATGGTGATAGCAATGGTATGGTGATAGCAGTGGTAATGGTAATAATAGTAATAAAGTTATTATTTAAATTTCATTTTCATGTATAAAAAAGAAAATTTTAATAAAAATAATTTTTTATTTTATTTTTTTGTGTGCGATGAAATGGATCAGTTTGATGAAGTATTTTATTTTAATTTGAATTGATTGATTCTATAATATTAATTTATAATACATAATGTTTAATATATCATTTTAATATATAACATTTAATATATAATGTTTAATGATAATATATAGTCAATTATGTGAATATGGCTATACACAATTAGCAGAAATTATAGCAGAACAAACAGATAATCAAACTAGCTTAACACCTAGTTCCAAATTGTCAGAATTACTTTACATTGCAAAAGAGCAGGGTAAGTAAGTATGTAATAATAACAACACATGATATATTGTAAAATCCACATTAATAATTTCTTTTTTTTTTTTTTTTAGATGAAGGTGGTGATGAGGAAATGAGGCCATGTGAAATGTTAATTGATGATGATGTTGATGATAATGATAATGATAATGATGGAGTCTATGTTGCTGCTGCTTCCGCTGATGATGATGATGATGTTAATAATAATAATAATAATAATGGAGTTTTACCACATTCAAAATATCTAACATTTATTGATCCAGAAACCAAAAATAGTAATAACTGATTAATTAGTTAATTAATAATGTTATATTTCATGGAAGTAATTGGGTTATTTTTTCTTTAGCACCAAGACCTGCACCTAATTATTCAACTTGGTACATGACTACTCATAGAGCTGCTTCTATATGTGCTATCTTTAGCGGTGATGGTATGTATGTAACTAATTCACTTATTTATTCATTTGCTCAATTTATTTATCCATAACCATATTTTTATATTATCAGGAAAATATGCAGCAACTGGGTCTGCTGATGCTTCACTTAAAGTTTTGGACACAAGCAAAATGAATAGCCGTTCTGATGAGGACAGACCTGTCATACGAACATTATATGATCATCTTGCTGTAAATATTTGCTTAATTTTCAATATGATGATTGTTTTGATTATCTTTTTGATCTTATTTCTTTTGAACTTGCCCTTTGTTTTTATTATAGCCTGTTAATGATTTATCTTTTCATCCAAATGGATTGGTACTTGCTTCTTGTTCTGATGACAAAAGTATAAAGTTGTTTGATTTGTCTAAACAAGGAGTTAAACGTTCTTTTAGATATTTACAGGTTTGTTATTTATGATTTATTATAATTATAATTACAATTATTTATTTATTTTTATTTTTATTTTTATTTTTAGGACACACATGTTGTAAGATCCATTGTATTTCATCCTTCAGGAGATTTTATATTAGCAGGTTTTTTTTTAATATTGGTGAAGACTTTTTAATTTACAAGAACTATTATTAAATAAATTATAAATATACTCATATATTCATATGTATAATATATATTTATTATATGATAACAATAATAATAGGAACAGATCATGAATCTGTAAGAGCTTATGATGTAAAAAATTTTCAATGTTTTACAGCATCTACTTCACCTTCCGATCTTCATAAAAGTGGGATTACAAAGGCAAATAAATGATTTTCTAAACTATTATATATTTAATATATTGTGTTGACTTTTTTTTTCTTTATTTTATCTTCCAATATGTATATAGATCAGATTTTCTTCAAATGGGTCTCAATTTGTCACATCATCACTTGATGGAAGTATAAAAATATGGGACACAATTAATGGAGGTTGTATAAAAACCATTGAAAATGCTCATGATGGTGCACCTGTGTCAAGTGTAAAATTCTCTAAAACTGGGAAATACATACTTTCTGGTGGAAAAGATTCGACTGCTAGATTATGGGAAGCTGATAGTGGAAAATTGATTTTGAAATATGAAGGTGTTGTTCACAAGGTAATGAATTGCTTATTCTAAATGATCTAAATGGTTGCTAATATAACAACAAATCTTGTTCTTTTAGAATCAGTCCTTACAGACAACATTTACTTATAATGAAGATTATGTTCTTAGTAGTGATGAATTAAACAATACAATCATTTGTTGGGATTCACGTACAGGTCTTTTACTTAAAAAATGGGGAGGTGAAATATACAAATCTAAATATTGGTATATTTATGATATGGGAACAAGAAAAAATTAAACCAAAGTTTTCTTTAATAGGACATACAAATATTATACGATGTATTGCAGCTTCACCAACTGAACCTGGATTTATTAGTTGCAGGTAAAAAAATTTAATTTCAATTGGGTTGTTTGATTTATTTTGGGTTTTTTTAACATTTTGTTTTAAATATTATTATTATTCCAAAAGTGATGATTTTCGTGTCAGGTAATTATTAATTTAAAAAAATATAGGAAAAATAATTTATATATTAATATTTTTTTGTAAATACAAAATTATAGATATTGGAATTTAGATTGATTTTTTAATGCTTTTGCTTCTCTTTAACTAACTTACATTAATGATCTATTATTATTATGTAATAATAATAAAAAAATCATAAATACTTGCTTTGTGATAAAAAGAAATTCAAAAATTATTATTATTAAAATTTTGGGAAATTCCTACAAGGGTAAGTTCAACTTGCCAAGATATTGGTGGTTTTGAAAATTACGTCAGATAAAGTGGATAGGAAATTGTAGGGGTCTAAATTAATTGATATCCTTCATAAAAATCACCTTGTCCTTGACTTTGCTGTTCAGGTTTTATTCAATTGGCTTTTATTTGCTTTAGCTAGGCTTGCATTCTGTTTGACCTTTTATTCAGTTAATTCTTGGATAATGTTTGTTGTTTGTCTATTTCAGTTTCTTGTGCTCTAATTTTTAATTTTTGCTTTTAGTTTCTGAATAGTATTTTCATTTTTTTTTTCATTTAAATGTTCTATCATCTAATTGTTGTTTTGCTTGCTTTTCTCTTTTTGCACAATCATCTTCTAAATCTTTATTTTCTTATCCTTTTATATCCTTATTCTGTTGATTTACTAATTTTTGCTTCTGCTGTATCTTATTGTTTTTATTATATATGTCTTGTTTTCCTGTTTTTCATTGCTAGTTTCTTTTGACTACTGGCTAAATTTTTGATATTTGGCTTTGTTGCTGATATTTAATTCTAGTTTTTGACTTGGCTCATTTTTTATTTTGTTCGATAATTTATTATTGATCTTTTGCAATTTATCAATCAAGATTACCTTTCTTTAAGATGGATATTTCTTACCTACCCTTTCAATAAAATCTAAATGAGTTTGGACTTACATTCCAATCCTTGAACTTTGCATTACTTAAATTGACTATGATTCTTGAAGCCTCTATATCCCTCTTAATAACTAGCTCCAGAAATAATTGTCCTCTCCAATAATTCAAACATGGTTTTTTTTCACAAGGCTTCCATATCCTTGTTCATTCATCTTCTAAATTCCATATTCTTCTATATCATTATCATCGATTTCTTTTCTATTTCATAAAATCTCTTTTTTTTCTTATCATAATCTTTCTTTTTTTCTGGGACAGTTAAATTCATAATTTCAGATGTGGATGTAAAAAGCCTTTTTTTTATTGTGTAATTGCTGATCTACTCTTATTTTTTATTGTTAATGTTATTGTTGTTGGTTTATATAGAGCTATTCCTATATAAAAATATGAAACCAAAATTAATTTACATCAAAGTCAAAGAACTACACCTACCATTTGGAGTATTCTCAAGGGGAAGCCCATTGAAACTACAAACGAAAAATGATCAAAATAAACAAAATAAGAACAAAAATCATTATAAATTTTACTTACTCACATTAGGTAAAAAGGATTATGCAGATTCATTCATCCCTCTATGTCATATTGCATCATACATAATCTATCCATGGTCATAACACTAGTAAAAATACCTTTGCATTCAGCCAAGTCTGTGACATGTGAATCAACAACTTCAATGTTTTGTTGAATTGCCATATCATTTATTTCAAATGATTTTTCAAGCTAAATTATATATATATAAACATTAGATTTAATTATTAATTAGAAATCAATTAGAAAAAAATAAAAAAAAAAAAAACCACAAACCTTATTTTGTTCACTGGTTAACATTTTAATTGTTTCACCAAAAACTGAAGTTTTTTAATGTAATTGTTGTAAAGATTTCGAAACAATTAATCAAAACTGGTGCAATTGACGTAAGAGGATCTACTTTGTCCAAAAGTGTAAAAGATAGTCTATCTTTACATGCATATATATATAAAATTAGAAATATAAATGTTAGAATAATTGTAAACTTGTTAATAATTAATCAATGAAAGATTATAACTAACATTAATAAAATGGGCAGGCAGGCATCTTCTCTTCAGTCTCAAATCACCATTTAAAAGTTCTTTATTCTTCAATTCATTAACTTTCTCCATTCACCAGCCAAAGCATTAGCTTTATTAGCTTTCCTGGAAATAGATCCTAAATGACATGATTGTATCAATATTTGCATATGTTGATCAAGTTTATCAATGGCAGCAATTAAATTGATATTTGTTATAGAAATTGACTATATTATATTAATAGATGATTGTTATTATTATTACAATGTCATTAAATGAATGAATGAATGAATTCATTGGCAATAAATAAAAAAATTCATTTAGCTAACCAAGAACATACAATATTCACAAAATTTGTCTGTGAGATGTACCAACAAGTTTTTCTAAAGCAGAAATACATCCATCAAGTTCAACTGTCTTGGCTAAAATGTGAATTTTTGCAGTTTCAGGTATATAATATAACTCATTCATAACCATCTAATTTATTCATAACAACAATTAGTAAATTAATAAATCAATAAATTAATAATATTATTATTATCATCAATCAAATAAAATATCATTTTTTGCAATTGCATTATCTGAATCATGACCATTAGTTTCAATCACAGTTGATGTGTCATAATCTTTCGAAATTCTATTTTCCCTGTGAACACCCAGGTGTTTAAAAGATTGTAATTGATTGATTGATCAACTAATTTTTCATTCATTTCGGCTTGTTTTATTATTGTTCCTTCCTTTTTGTCTATAGAATCTGGTTCACTTATATTTTGAGATAGTCGACTAAGATCTTTTTGCAAACTGGATTGTTCAACAACAGCATTGTGAAGAGGTTTTTTAAGTTTTTATTGATCATCATCCTATTGACATATGTATATTTGTTAAAAAATAATGATGATTAAGTGACTATGATTCACATAATCATATAATTAATTGCATTATTTATTTTAGTACCTTATCTTTTCCAATTCTTCATCAAGTTCTTGAGCTTCAAAAATTAATCTTCACAATTTTTGTACAGGAGATGTATTCATATTCATTTGTATCTAAAACAGGACATTTAACATAAACTTTGTACATGTTTTTTTACAACAAGTTATACTATCAGGGAAATCTAAAAATATAAATAGCATAATATAATTAAAATCATATAATCAATGAAATAGTGATGTATATTTTTTTTATAGTTATATTCATATGTATATACCAGTTTCAGAAGCATTGATGATACTGCCCTTAAACTTATCAACAGCTTCACATACAGAAATTTTTTCTTAACTATATTTTCATTCAGTTCTTTTAAATAAAAAAGATACTCTAAAATTTTGAAAAACCTTCTTCTTATTTTAAAACAATTATAATAATAATAACAAAATTATTTACCCCCATTGTCTACAGCATCACTTTCTTCAGGTGTATCTGGAGATTCATAAACGTCTGGTTGGGTCTCCTAAATATCAGTTTAATCTGTTTCTATTATAATAAAATTTTGTTCAACAAGTGAGAACTTACAATGTCAGGAAGATTACTATATTTACTTGATAATTGAGACATTTTTTTAACACTTTAATTGATTAATAAACAGAGCAGGAAAGCCAACAGATAAAGGCTTAATATTAAAAAAAATGCAAGGTCAAACAATAAAATGTGTGGTATTTTGAACATTAATCATTTTTCATAGTTTAAATTAAAATAAATCAGATATATATATCAGATATGGAAAAAAAAAATGAATAATTTTTAATATTAAAGTTGCATCTACAAATAATTTTACTAACATTTTATTATTAAAAAATAAATGAATAAGAAGGGAACACCTTAAGAGTAAGCCTCGTTGTGTTATGAACTCTTCTTCTTAATATGTTTCAAATAAAAAGAAAGAAATCACAATCGCATAACTGTGCTATGACCAACAAAACCAAATCCGTGATCAACCAAAGTCTCAAAATAAAAGAAAAAAATCCAATGAGCTGAGAACAACTCATCTAATCCTTTTCTCTCTTTCTCTTCAACATAAGGAAGATTAAACGGATGGTTTATACCATATTATAGGTGACACTTTCTGTCATGTGTCCGAGGACTTTCCCCAAAGCAATTGAAATAATTTTAATGTGAGCTAATATATATATATATATATATTGCTCTGCATGTAGTGCTTTGATAGCGATTCTTTAAAATGTTCCCTCCAAGAAAATAAAAATAGTCATACAATTGGATGGAGTTTTGTAACATCACTTATTACAAATGTGGTGCGGATCATCTAGACAGGCCAATCTTTAAATTGCTAATAACTCTATATATTTGGATGTGGGGAAAAAAATACTAAAAAAAAAGCCTTAGGGTTTGAAATTACATTTTATTACCCTAAAGATTGTGGTCATGTTTAAATTCATTCCATCCTCAGAAAAACAATTCAATCTTTCATATATTAATAATAGCATTAAGATAACAATTTATCAAATGCTTGTTTATGTTTGCCCCATTGCTCCTAAAAAGCACCCAACAATCCCTATTATAAGGGTAATACTTTTAAGGTAAAATATGTCATATGTAACATCCATGTTGTTAATTTTAAATGATAAAAAGAATCAGCTGCAATGTATAATATATATTGCGAGCATGCAATCCGAGTTTCCTAATTAATAGGTTATTTAATGCTCAACACACAGCCTACCCGCTGACTTACGGTTGATTCTATTGTTTGACACACAGCCTACCCACCGACTTATGGTCAAGTTTCCTTTGTTTATATATATAACGCACAGCCTACCCACTGACTTATGGTCATTGCCTTTATGTGACACACAGCCTACCCGTTGACTTACGGTCACTAGGTTATATTTAAATAATTATATCCCGAAGGCGTCCCATTGAGATGTATCTGAATAATTAAAAGGGTTCCCAACTAATAATTAAAGGTTGGCCAGACCATTAACCATTAGAAGGGCTGGGGAGGTCAATCACACTGGGTTTATTAGTTGCTTACAGTCAAAGACTATTTTATGTAAGGTTATATATTTATTAATAGTTATTATTATGTTGTTATCAAGGTTGTTATCACAATATTAACAATTGATCAATTAATGATGATTATTAACTTGGTCTAAAGCAGAGGTTGCAAAAATTCTTTAACCGGTTAATTAACCGTTAAAATTAAGAATTAACCGGTTAACCGGTTAATTTAGTCACGTGGAATTTTTTAACTAGTAAATTCGATCATTCATTACTCACGCGCCTGTTGAATTTTATTATTATACACTTAATAGATGCTAAATGATTACAGTCAAACCTTGCCACAGTGATTCATGGTTCCAGCCAAAAAAATCCGTTATTATTATTATTATTATTATTATGACAAGAAGTCTGCAGCGGCAAAATTGGGAAATTTTTTTTTAATAATACAAAGCTCTCTATACCGAACCCTCTGTACATTGTATGCATTTTCCTGCTTTTGTTCATTACAGGGAGAAATTAATGGATTAACGGATTGTAACACCAAATCCTATAAATAATAATATAATAATAATTAATAATAAGCTAACCGTAATCTGTTAACAACCCGTTACGACTGGTAGTCCGTTAATTACTGGATAAGGTCTTAACGGGTCATAACACTGTATAAAACGTAAATTTGCTTAATATTAACATAATAATAATAAAATCAAATTTCGCATAAATATTATTATTAATATTCATTTGTGCAACCGGATATTCAATGAATATTCGAATATTCATGATTAAAATCACTAATTATGAGATCCCATTAACAGAACTATTTTGCAAAATGTAAAGGTATTCAGTTAATTGCCCCTCTTCATCATAATAATATGGAATATTATAATAATGAAAAAGAGCACCTAGTGTTAGTACTTCATTCACACTCCAGTCTCGTGCATCAATTTCAATATCCTTATCATGGCCATGTAATTGTTTTGATACAGTATGGTAAAGACCACCCATACACTTTTCCACATCTTTGTATCGAGAATTATTAGCTAAGCATATTTGTTTTAAATATGACACAAACTTTGCATCTTGTACCAATTTCATTAAAACACTGTCTGTAGGATCACGAAATGAGGTAGTTTTATCCTGCAACCGAGTCTATTGAGAGAAAAGTATGTAAACAAAATTCAACAAAAGTAATTAAAAAAACACGGAATGTTACCATTGATCTGATGAACTCTAAAGCACCTTTCACATTACACATCCTTTTTGATCGTAAAAGAAGTTCAGTGCGGTATTTGATATCATTCTTAAGATTCGTAATACTATTTGATAGTTCTGATTTTTCGTATTCTTTTTTCCTTTACATCTGCTAGTTTCTGCATTAAATCCTTTGTTAGTTCTGATTTTTCGTCCTTTACATCTGCTAGTTTCTGCATTAAATCCTTTGTTAGGTCTACCTTTTCCTGTACCAAATCCTTCGCCAAATCCTTTGTTAAAACCATAAAGAGATTTGCGATTTTTGAACTAACTGCACTTCTTATTTTTGAATCTTCAGGTAATTCATCAAGAATTGGCGAGATATCATACTTGTAACTGCTAACGAGAGAGATGATAATCTTTGTTGTGGCCACAAGGGATGATGGTTCTGCATCTAATAAACAGTGCTTAAGTATTTGTTCAAGTAAAAGAGAAAGATATAAAACGTCTCATTTGCTTACCAAAGGCCTTAGCAATCTTAAGCGTAAAAACATTCTAATTACTACAAGGAAAATTTTTGTCATTGGTTATACATATTAATATATTAATTGACAATCCGTGAATGAATCAGTGAGATGTTGATCATTTTGTTATGAAATTTTGTCGCCAATTATTATTAATAAAATAAGAAATTTCCCAAATCTCACCATCCTCACAAGTTAATTCTCATGTCCATACAAAAAATACAGAAAACAACCTTAGAAATTGTTAAATACTTCTTTAAAACTCTTTTTCAGTTATTTTTTAATTTTACTATAACAACATATAAGTTCATTTGATAGGTTTCATTAAAATAAAATTTTTTTTTTGTTGATAAACCGATAAAAAAAAAGTATAATTTTGGTCAGAAAACTTTATAGTGTTGGCTGAAAGTTAAAAAATTCCGAATTTTTATATGTTATTGACTTCTTGAAATCTCAGTGACAAGCATACAAAAGTTTTTGAAGAACATTCCAACCCCAATATTTTGACATATTATTCTATGAGATTTACCTTACACATACGTAAAAAGAGCAAGATTTGTAATACAAAAATATCATGCTTTATTATTTGTTAAACATTGTCAATTGACGATTTTTACCATTTTTGCCCCACCAATCCTACTAATTTTCACTGGTTTATTCATGGATCATCAATTAAAGTAAAAAATTAATTGACGATCTGTCTATGAATGAGTGAGCTTTACATAGGGATCGGTGGAGGAAAAATATCACAAATTTCACCAATTGACGACTTTGTATAAAAAAATGGTACTATACTTTAGTATTATAAAATAATATTAGGTTATGAAACAAATGTCAAAGAACATATTTATGTATTTTTTTTTAAGAATATTGAAAAAAAAAAAGGGTTTGCTTTTGGGGATGTGGAGATGAGTGAGGTTTTTCAATAAAAAAGTTTTTACACTCATGTAACTTATTAAAATAACAACAAAAAAATATATAATTCGAATAAATTATTTACTATAATTAGTCAATTTGAGTATTCAATGGATGAAATAAAACAGATGAACAAATAAAATATAATTAAGATTGAACAAGAAATTGTGTCATGAACAGTGTTCGAAATTCGACTGCGCCTTTACATAAACTAATCTAATTTTAGAAATTATCTGCGGTTAATTTCCATATT